TACGGAACGCGTCGTGTCCCGCGCTCTCTCTGGGTGAACAATAGAACATCGGCTTGGTGGGAGGTGGTGCCAACGTACAACAATGTGCACTTAGCACTGCCAGAAGCCCAGCCTGAAAGGTATTTTGTTGCTCCACCTCGATTCCTGGGCCTTGTGTGAATGCAGCAGCCGTTCGTCGTGCATCTCCTTGGCACGCAGGTCCTCATTCTCCTTGCTGACCATGGCACGGCGGTCCATCGCCATGATGGTGTCAAGGAAGCTGTCATCGCGTGCCCACTTTCCTAAGGTGAAATATGCAAGATACAAGATCAGTTTAATCGCAACAACGAGACACATTGTCCAACATTGGACATGGTGCAGGCAGGGACAGTGTGCAAAATGCAGGTGTAAAGTATAAGATAGGATCAAATAATATCAAATAAAAAATAAATATCAAAGTGCCCTTATTTATTGTTTTGTGCTTAATGTATGCTTGAACTTTGTTTTATAGGGATTAGTGGACATCAGTTAGATGTGTAACCTTCTTTCAAGGCCAGAGTAGTTACAGTGTAAGTGGATTGACATCTAACATAACATGGCTGAGTACAATTATAACAATCAATAAAAAAAAGGAAAAATAAATAGAATTTCAATTACATTTCTACTTAAATGTGCAAAAATATTAGAACATCAGTCTTTTGTGGCATGCAGGTAATCAACTGTTTAAGCTTTTACCATTAACATGTAGAATGAATGTTGCAAATTACTTGAAATTATAGCAACTACAATGTATTGTTAGAGGTAAGAATACAGAGGTAGCATTATGTCCAGCTAGCATGCTAATTGCTAACGTTATATTATCGTTTTATCCCGGAGGGGAAAACTAGTTTCTAATCCTGAGAGAAACACCTCGCCTGAAACACACGATTAGTGCCATGAGTTTGTGAAGCAAATTACAGAACATTGCACACTTATTCACAAGTCAAAACGTGTTCATAGCGGGCATGGCTGAGAATAGCTAGCTAGCTAGATGTTGTTAGCCAGCTTGGACCTAACGTTAGCAAGTTCTAGCATGGCTAGCTCGATCTACTGAGCAAATAAAAGTACATCTAAGACCAGTATTGTGCAGATTAAAACAGTGCAGTGCATGTATTTTATTTTACCTTCGTAGTCGTCCCGACATGACTTTGCCAGGTCTGCTAACTTTGCTGAGCCACGGAAACTGCATTCAGTAGAAGCTTCTGAATGCCGCGCTTCGCGTCCTCCGAGTAAATCGCCAGAAGCGCCGAGACATCCTCATCAATTCCACCGCTCCGATGATTTATTTAGTGTTGCTATAATAACTGCTTTCACAAAGTAATCTCTTCGGTTACGCTTCCCGAAGCGAGCAAATACAATGGCCGCTTCCAAAAAAAAATTCAGAGTCAAACGGGCGTGGTTTGCATTCCGCACAGCCAATCAGACGTACGAACTATTTTCTCCCACGACAGTCCCTGCTCTCTAGCAGGGACTGAAAAGCGGGTCGGACGAACTAATTTGAGCTACTTTAGTTCCTGGGGCTTTTTGGTGTGAACGCAAATATATCGTAGTTCTGATGAACTATTGTGGGAAAAGTACACCAAAGTACTCCGGTGTGAACGCACCTATAGAGCGAAATGAGGCATGGCTAAAATGCATGATCTGTTTGGTATTTTGAAAACAGAAACGTATAAATATACCTTATATAGGTATGGCCCTACAATATATCATTTAAATATAGCATGATAGGTCCACTTTAACATAATATTTCATGGTGGGGCTATGGTGGGGTTAAGCCATTTCTTGGTTACCCTGGAGCTGCCACTGCCCCCCAGATATAGTCTCTAGTAATTCTGCTCAAAGTGCACCAGATAGAAGCATTTTACTTTAACCTGTTAACCTGTTAAGCACCAAGCCTGTTTTTCCTGTTTCAGGCTCGAAAATGACATGCCCAAAACAAATGACTACAACTTAACTTCTAAAAGGGTTATATGAATAATTTATTTTATCAAAGCAAGGTTACATCTGTGAGTTGGATGTAGAAGTGTCAGAATCAATATAGATTTTTCTCAGTCAGAATAAATTTAGATGGAACATGGTAAAAAAAAGGTAAATTCTTACCTCCGCCTAAAAGAAAAACCATTACTTATAGTGAAAACCACCCTTGAATGATGGGATGGTAGACTAAAAGCTTTAGGAATCCAAAGTACAACATATAATAAGTACTCTGTATCGAGATTGATGCAAAACAAGTGACATTTGACCTTTTTAGCCAGGTTTAGAAGAAAAAAACCCACCTCTGGGGTGATTTTGGTGTAAATGGGCGTTTTACAGTTTCTCTGGAACCCATTGGTCGATTTTGGTGATTGTAATCTCTTCCTGACCGTTAGAGCCAATAGAATCGAAGGGGGGTTTTCACATAGACACCAACATTAACACAAAAAGGTGGAGGCTTTGCGCATGCAGGCTTGCATCAGAGTGAAGCGCTCTGACATCTGGAAACGGAAAAGCAATTTTATTTCTTATGGATTATCAGAAATCATTTCAAAGAGGACACAGACACATTGGATTAACCTATGGATTAACTGCAGCATCGTTTTTTATCGTTTTAATGCCATTGAAGACCAGTTTTGCGCCAAATGTTTTGATGTACGTTTTCATTTATAGAGTCGCGAGTTTGTATCACTGAGTGTTGAGGTGGGCACCCATCGATTCTGTGTCTCCAGACGATGCTAATCGATGGGTTGGCTGTGCATCTAGGATAAGTAATAAGGGAGTTAAGCCCGAGAGACCCCGGTACCGGGGCACTTGCGCAACATCTTGCAGGAAACAGTGTCTGAGGGCATGTTCATTTAATAAACTATGAATGTTTTATAGCCATGTAACGGGAAGAAACTCATCTAACTGATAATTTTAATTTTTTTTCTCAAAATAAAACCCACAATGCTAACACTGAGCCTCTGAATTAGCAACGAGCGAAAAATGCTAACACCTTACTGCACCGAAAATCACTCACAAAACCTTATTATTTATCTCTTCTCTACATCCATGACATCGTTTCACATCGTGAGGTGACACAGAATCTTTGGACACCCACATTATCACTGAATTATACGAAATGGCGACGTTATAAGCAAAAACGGACATCAAAACAGGTGACGCTAGGTAGCTAAAAATGCTAACATTTTTACCTTGGCTCTGTAGTCTGTCCAAAGTGGTCTTCAATGGCATTAAAACGATAAAACGCTGCTGAAGTTAATCCATAGGTTAATCCAATGTGTCTGTGTCCCTTTGAAATGATTTCTGATAATCCATAAGCATTAAAACTGCTTTTCCGTTTCCAGATGTCAAAGCTAGAGATAGGTTCACTCTGATGAAAAATTACATGCGCGAAGCCCCCACCTTTTCTCTTCACAATGAGTGTGTGTGGGGGACTCCCCCTTCGATTCTATTGGCTCTAACGGTCAGAAAGAGGTGTCAACCATCAACATCGACCAAGGGGGGCCAGAGATATGGAAAATCCACCCAAATGACCCCAGAAGTGGTTTCTTTTTGCTAAATCTCTCTAAGAAGGTAAAATGTCACTTGTTTTGCATCAATCTTGATACAGGGTACTTATTATATGTTGTACTTTGGATTCCTAAAGCTTTTAGTCTACCTTACCATCATCCAAGGGTAGTTTTCACTATAAGTACAAAATAATTTTTGGACGGACACTATAATTTACAGTTTTTTACTATGTAAAATCTGAATTTTCTTTAAAATAAAAACATCTATATTGATTCTGACTTTTCTACATCCAACTCACAGGTTTATCTTTACTTTGAGAAAAAATATTATTCATTTAACCCTTTTAGAAGGGAAGATATGGTCATTTGTTCTGGGAATGTCATTTTCGAGCCTGAGACCTGAAAAACAGGCTCAGGGCTTAACAGGTTATGAATGAGTTTCGGTGCAGTGATGGGTTAGCATTTTTTCGCTCGTGGCTAATTCAGAGGCTGAGTGTTAGCATTGTGGGGTTTTTTTGGAGATTTTTTTTTAAAAAGATCAGTTAGCTGAGTTTCTTCCCGTTACATGGATATAAAACATTCATAGTTTATTAAATATTAAGATTCCTTAGACGTTGTTTCCTGCAAATGACGCGTTTATCCGCCCCGGTACCGGGGGGGGGGGGGGGCGGTGGATAAGAGGTTAAGCCCTGAGCCTGTTTTTCAGGTCTCAGGCTCGAAAATGACATTCCCAGAACAAATGACCATATCTTGCCTTCTAAAAGGGTTAAATTAATAATCTTTTTTCTCAAAGTAATGATAAACCTGTGAGTTGGATGTAGAAAAGTCAGAATCAATATAGATGTTTTTTATTTTTAAGAAAATTCAGATTGAACATAGTAAAAAACTGTAAATTATAGTGTCCGTCCAAAAATTCTTTTTTACTTATAGTGAAAACTACCCTTGGATGATGGGTTAGTAGACTATAAGCTTTAGGAATCCAAAGTACAACATATAATAAGTACCCTGTATCAAGATTGATGCAAAACAAGTGACATTTGACATTTTTAGAGAGATTTAGCAAAAAGAAACCACTTCTGGGGTCATTTGGGTGGATTTTCCATATCTCTGGCCCCCCTTGGTCGATTTTGGTGATTGACACCTCTTTCTGACCGTTAGAGCCAATAGAATCGAAGGGGGATTTCCCCACACACACACACACATGGTAAAAAAAAAGGTGGGGGCTTCGCGCATGCAGTTTTGCATCAGAGCGAACCTATCTCTAGCTCTGACATCTGGAAACGGAAAAGCAGTTTCATTGCTTATGGATTATCAGAAATCAATTTCAAAGGGACACAGACACATTGGAT